CAACCCCCTGCCAAGAAGCAGGAATGTTGCATTCAAATCACCCCTGACAGATGGCCATCCAGCCTCTGTTTCCAAAGAAGGAGCCTCCACCACACTCCAGGGCAGAGAGTTCCACTGCTGAACGGCTCTCATTAGTTTTCAACCTGTGGGTCCCCAGACATCTTGGCCTTCAACTCCCAGAAATCCTAACAGCTGGTAAACTGGCTGGGATTTCTAGGAGTTGTAAGCGAAAAAAACATCTGGGGACCCACAGGTTGAGAACCACTGCTGTAGGGGATGGGATGGTTCATTAACGGGTTGGTTGTGATGTTATTAAAATAAAAAAGTGATTTATTTGATAAATATCTCATAAGATGTTAAGACTATTTACAAAGGAAGATATCCTGAAATAGTACCACAGGTCTTTGTGCATTACTCGTTTAGGTGATTATTACATGGTGAAGAAACTTTTGGAAGAGAATTGCGCTGGTGATATGAACATAAATTGTGTAGATGTCCTAGGAAGAAATGCTGTTACTATAACTATTGAAAATGAGAATCTAGATATACTACAGCTTCTTCTGGACTATGGTTGCCAGGTACTGTGAAAGCTCATTTATTTTTTAAAGTCTGTTTAGGAGGAAAAAAATAATTCCATCTTTTAAAATTTAAAAATATGTAATTGTGTGCAGTTCATTGTTATTCCTTTCATATTTTTAGTCCACAGATGCACTTTTGGTGGCGATTGACTCAGAAGTTGTGGGAGCTGTGGATATACTACTTAATCATCGACCAAAACGAACCAGTAGACCAACAATTGTTGTTAGTATTGATTTTATTTACATGTACAGATGCTGTATCCAAATCCCCATATTAAGTGCTAATTGACGACTTTCTTGAATAGGGACAGCTTTCTTTTAGCCTATATTCTTGAAGCAAGGATGGGAAAGTAAGGTCTTCCAGAGGTCAAACTGCAACTCCCAAAATCTGGCTAGGTGATGGAAACTGTAATAGTCTACGATTGCTAAAAGACCACATTTTGCCCATTCTTGCCATAAATGATAAAGATTTAAAAATATTGATATCCCATAAACCTGGATACATAGATTGACTTAGAATAACCCAATCATGATCTGGATTCTGTTTTGTTCTGTTCCCATTGCATATTATAGGGAGAATAGTGCTTGTTCATTTTTTCCATTAAATTTCAGAGAGTATTTTCAGTTGAAAACACTACATGTAGATTGATAGATCGTTTATATTTTTGCATCATTTCAATTACTGTTGCTTCAAAAGAGAGCTTTGTGTAGTTTGTGTACAAGTGAGATTTAATTCTCTCATCCACTGCCATTTCCTTTTGTTGCATATCTTTTTAAATTGCAAGCCTGATGGTAAGGAATTGTCAAGTTAACAGTTTGCAAGCTACCTTGGGAGATTGGGTTGTTGTGAGTTTTCCAGGCTGTATGACCATGTTCCAGAAGCATTCCCTCCTGACATTTCACCTTGGGAGACCTTTTAAATAAAGGTTGGGGTATGTTGTTGTTCATTCGTTCAGTCGTCTCCGACTCTTCGTGACCTCATGGACCAGCCCACGCCAGAGCTCCCTGTCGGCCGTTACCACCCCCAGCTCCCTTAAGGTCAGTCCAGACACTTCAAGGATGCCATCCATCCATCTTGCCCTTGGTCGGCCCCTCTTCCTTTTGCCTTCCACTTTCCCCAGCATAATTGTCTTCTCTAGGCTTTCCTGTCTCCTCATGATGTGGCCAAAGTACTTCAACTTTGTCTCTAGTATCTTTCCCTCCAGTGAGCAGTCGGGCTTTATTTCCTGGAGGATGGACTGGTTGGATCTTCTCGGGTTGGGGTATAAATGTGCTAAATAAATAGCGAACTTTTGTGGTAATAGTAGTAAAGAAATTGAACACTGAATTGGGATAGAGGGAGAGCTTTTATCATAGCGTCCACCAAATTATTACATTTTCGACTTCTACCAACAGTGGGAGGCATGCAAGTTGGAAATGGCAGTGGAGGAGAGAATTAAATCTCATTTGTACACAAACTACACAAAGCTCTCTTTTGAAGCAACAGTAATTGAAATGATGCAAAAATATAAACGATCTATCAATCTACATGTAGTGAGATTTTCAACTGAAAATACTCTCTGAAATTTAATGAAAAAAATGAACAAACTATTCTTTAACTATCTGCTATGAAGGACCATCATTCCCCACCCACCAGGGCCCAGAACTATATTTGTTCCTGTTTGCTATAGTTGTTTCTTCCTTTCCTGGAGGTTCTCCTGAGGCCAGAAATTGATGGCTTGGAAAATAGCTCCAGTCCATGGGCCGCCACTTTGAGGAGCACTTATTTAAATTGTCCTTTGATCTTGTTCTATGATTTTAGCAGCATTTAGAAGAGGTTTAAATTTCCACATCCCTATGCCCTGAAATCCTGACGGAAGGGAAGATTCACATGTGAAGGCTTCTTTGCACCTATGCCCATGTAGCCCCAACTCAGCAACTGATATCACATGTGGACCTTCAGACCAATAGATTGTACCTCCTTCTGTTATAGGATGTGGAAAAGCATATGTTTGTTGAAACTCTGCCTACATTGGTGAACTGAATTAGAACAACTACTGAATTGCTCATTAAATGTATCTAAACAGATTCAGGATGTTGTTCTAAGTGGGGTGCCTCCTTTAAATTGTATTGTTGGATAAAATTTACTTATTAAGGTTTTTTTTTTCAAAAAGAACATTCTGATGAGATACTTTTGAGTGTAAAAATATGAGACCCTCAGAAGTAGAATGTTTATAATTTTAGACTGGTTTAAGATTTCAATTCTAAATGGACAATTCATAAAACTTAATTTATTTTCTTTTTGCAGAAATTAATGGAACGTATTCAAAATCCAGAATACTCAACAACCATGGATGTGGCACCTGTTATTTTAGCGGCTCACCGTAATAACTATGAAATCCTTACTATGCTGTTAAAACAGGATGTGTCGTTACCAAAACCACATGCTGTGGGCTGTGAATGCACGCTGTGTACAGCCAAGAACAAAAAAGATAGCTTACGGCACTCCAGGTTACTGTAATTAGCTCTTTATTCATGCATGAAATTTCATCCCTACTTCAACGTAAGATAGAAATTTAAATGGCACTTAAATAGACAGAGAATCAATTGTTATTATATATGTGTATAGGTAGACTTGTACAAATATTTCTGCTTCTATGTTTTGAGGAACTTATTAAAATGAATAGTAGTAATGACTTTTCTTACTGAAGTGAGAGGTATGCAATGCATCTGCTGAACCGAGAATGGGATTGTGATTTTTCTAAGCAATTTATTTCAGTAATATTTAAATATGTTGACCTCACTAGGAGCTTTTGCTGTTGTGTACCACCTTGTCATTTTTTGCTTATAATACAATGCTTAGAATGGGAGTGAGTAGACAGCCAGTTGTCTTGATATGGAAACAGTCTCTGGCTAAAGTTACATATATTTGGTGATTTAGGAGATATTGGGCAACATTAAGGCGCAAAGTGGTTCTGTTCCCATTGCATGTTATTATCATGTGATATTAGAATGCAGCACCAAAAAAGGGGGAAAATATTGGAATTTTGGTACGGCAGGATAGAAATAAGACTAAAGAGGCTCTTCTATCCTAAAGGCTTGTCATGGCGTGATCCTATACATTCTAATCAGAAGTAAGCCATGTTAACTGCAATTAATCCTACTCTTTGGTAAATGAATACAGTATATTACAATCTCAGCAGGAAACCAGTTCTATGGGACACAGTTATTAACCTATCACAATAGGATTACAGATAGCAACTAGCATAACGACCAGCTTCTCATGTTATACTGCATTATTATATTTGCAGTTTGGGGGTCTGGCATTCAATATAATGACCATTTTCTTTGAGTTAACTACAGCTTTTTGCTATCTGTGTGTGCATTCTTTTGAAATTATTAGTTGAAGTCATTATAGCCTACAGTTTGATTTGTAATTGTGTTGCATCCCATTACTTACTAGGCATGATAACTCTTAAGTGTAATTCCATCAATATTTTTTCTTCAGGCTGGAGGGAAAAAAGTAATTTCACTTATTTTCTAGGACATGCAGATAAGATATGGAGCAGGAAAGCCCTGTAAAGGCCATCCAACCCAACTCTGCCATGCAGGATTAAAAAACTAAAGCACTCTAAGACATGGTTATCCAACCTCTATTTAAACATCTCCAAAAAGGCAGAGTTCACCTTTGCGTCTATTGTCATATGTCTTTTTCTATGTGGAAGTTAAGCGAATGACAAGCAAATCATGAGCTTTAAAACTCTGATCGTAATAAAAACTGTTTTTCTTAAGATGAGTTCTTCAACATTTTCATTATAGATTCCGTCTTGATATTTATCGATGTTTGGCCAGTCCTGCCTTGATAATGCTGACAGAAGAGGATCCAATTTTGAGAGCTTTTGAACTTAGTGCGGATTTAAGAGAACTAAGTCTCGTAGAAGTTGAATTCAGGTACAGATTAAAATTTGACCCAGAATTATTATTTTCTTTTTCTACATATCATTGATTTCATGCATACTATGAGTCAGTGAGACAACAAAATCAAAATTATTAAGAAACAAGCATTGATTGCAAATACTGAATTAAAACTGTTTAATCTGCATTAGCAGCTGTTGATTTCCTTGTTGTTGGAATCCTAAATCAAGTTCAGGTTGCAGTTTGTTCTTTAAAAGATGTATCCAAGGTGCTGATCCCTATCCCCCATAATAGACTTAATACCTTGGATAGCTACTTTAAAATTTTGATTGAAAACTGGAGTGGATTCGCAATTCTACTGACATGTAAATCATCATCCACCACACAGCATGGAATTCAATCTTAACTCATCTGTTTTAGGATCCATTGGCATTGACGCAAGTGTTTAGTTTTTAGTTAAAAGCAATGGATGCTTAATGAATTCAAGGCTGGAGTTAAACTTGCTGGAAGAAACATTAACAACTTTAGATATGCAGATGATACCACTTTGGTGGCTGAAAGCAAGGAGGAGCTGAGGAGCCTTCTAACCAAGGTGAAAGAAGAAAGTGCAAAAGCTGGGTTGCAGTTAAACATAAAAAACCAAGAAGATGACAACCAGACTGATTGATAACTGGCAAACAGGGAGAAAACATGGATTTCTTCTTCACTCCTATTTCTAGGAGTGAAGATTACTGCAAACAGGAAATTAGAAGACATTTACTTCTTGGGACGAGAGTAATGATAAATCTCAGTAAAATAGAAAAGAGTAGAAGACAGCACACAGGCAATGAAGGTCCTCATAGTTAAAGCAATAGTATTCCCCATAGTAATCTATGGATGCAAGAGCTGGACCCTAAGGAAGGTTGAGCGAAGTAAGAAAGACGCTTTTGAACTGTGGTGTTGGTGGACAATTCTGAGAGTGCCTTGGACTGTGAGAAGATCAAATGAGTCCATACTCCAGGAAATAAAACCCAACTGCCCATTGGAGGGAAGGATATTAGAGGTAAAGATTAAGTACTTTGACCACATAATGAGAAGACGGGAAAGCTTGAAGAAGATGATGCTGGGGAAAATGGAAAGAAACAGGAAGTGGGGCCGACCAAGAGCAAAGTGGATGTATGGTATCCTTGAAGTGACTGAATTGACCTTGAAGGAGATTGGGGTGGTGTTGGCCAACAGGGAGCTCTGGCATGGGCTGGTCCATGAGGTGACAAAGAGTCAGAAGCGACTGAATGAATAAACAGCAACAAACTTGATTACAGTGTTTTCTGACCTATGTTGGGACCTACTATTTGTGCTACCTTAGAGAGTCTTCAACACTGCATATTTAAAATAGTGGATAGTGCATATATCCAAATATTTATTATTAAATCCGTGTGTAGGAAAGTTTAGAGCAACAATATTAGTATGCGTCATTGATGATATATTGATTACATAAAAGGAAACTGGCTTAAATCTATTTAAATAGCTTTCGTTTTTTAAGTCTGGCATTTGCTCTAGATCCAGGAAAGATATTTGCTCTTTTACCCTGATGTTCATATCAAAAGTATGTTTGTATTTTTCACCTTCCCTATTTCCTAGAAATGATTACGATGAGTTAGCCCAGCAATGTAAAACATTTGCTAAAGATTTGCTTGCCCAAGCACGGAATTCTCGGGAACTTGAAGTTATTCTAAACCATACGGCAAGTGATGAGCATGTGGATAAAAGGGGACTGTTAGAAGAAAGAATGAACTTGAGTCGGTTAAAGCTTGCTATTAGGTATAATCAAAAGGAGGTATGTCTTTTCCTTTAATTTATTGCAAAAATGATGCAAAATGAATGGCATTGTTTCTTTGGTTGGTAATATGCAATGGTACTATAGTTGTTGCACTTACATTGGTAGACTGAAGGAAAAAAATGAGTCAAGCAAAAATGTTATTCTTAATAGCAGTTCTTCACTTGATCACTTTCAAAGTTTTGTTTTCAACATTCTAATTATTTTGTTTGATGTGTTTTTATATCTGACTATCATTCACCAGAATTTGTGGTGGAATCTGATGTTCCTATTGTTGGAAGAAAAGTCAAAAAATATTGCCAGATTATAGCCAAGGAAGTCTTCTGGTATCCTAAATATCTCTGGGAACATAGTCCTTCATGTAAATAGGAGGTGTGCTTTTCAGCTACAGTTGTAAATACAGAGTTCCAGGTGATGTCACTAAGATATAGCGGAATAGGGAGCCATGGATAAGATGACATTTAAGTTTTGGTTTTAACTTAATTGCTATTTTTCTAGCAAAAACATAAAATATTAAATCATTGAAGTGAACTTAAGAGTTTTAGGTAACTTGTTTTAGGTAACTTTTAGGTAACAGTTTTGCATTCAAAATTTAAACTTTATTTAAAAGCATATTTCACATTACTTCACATTGCAATCTAATTATTTCTGTCTGTCTTTATGGGTTTCCACAGAGCTTGAGCCTTCATTGGCAACTTTTATTAACATAAACTTCTTTTCCTGTTGCAGTTCGTTTCTCAGTCTAATTGCCAACAATTTCTCAATACTGTTTGGTTTGGACAAATGGCTGGTTACCGTCGCAAACACACATTCAAGAAGATTTTGACTGTCTTAACGGTTGGCCTCTTTTGGCCACTGCTATCTTTTTGTTATTTATTGGCCCCCAAATCTCGAATAGGCCGAATAATTCACACTCCTTTTATGAAGTTCATTATTCATGGAGCATCATATTTCACTTTTCTGCTGTTACTTAACTTGTACTCGGTTGTCTACAATGAAGATAAAAAAAACACAATGGGGCCAGCTTTGGAGAGAATAGACTACCTTTTAATACTCTGGCTCATTGGTAAGTATAGGACTGATACAAAATTATTGTCCTGTCAGTTTCTGGAAATAATGTTGCATTTTACCAGGTTTAGGATATCATTTACAAGATTTACATTTCTGGAGGTGTGATTGATTATGATGTAGTTAGAGCCATTAAACATGTTCTTAATATGTCCTATAATCAGGAATATTAAGGACATTTAATCAACTACCAAGCTTGCAAATTTTGTGGTTTGTTTGTTTGTTTGTTAAAAAATGCAATACAACTGTTTGGTTTGCTCCTGACACGATAGATAGATAAATAAATAAATAATCAGGAAAGTGCTGCAGACATAATTTCCCAGCACCCTGATCTGCTGTGCCCTGGGAACTCTTCAGTTGAGCCTGTACCAGACTCAAAAGTTTTTGAGGGGTGGAATCAGATATAAATACAATGAGGGAACTATGTCACTGTAGTTGTATCTAACAATGCAGAATCTCAGTCTACATGTTATGCCCATTTGTGGTTTTATATGTATTTTGTACAGCTCTGAACTAAATTGTACTGGTCTATGGCTATAAAAATTACACACAGTTAAAGCATCTAAATAGCAAGAGAAATATATTTAAAATATCAAAACAATTACACCAGTAAAACCATGAGTAATAATTTAGTCAGGAGAGCTTCTTTGTATAAAAACATGTTCAAATGATGACAGAAGAAAAGCAATATGCATATATGACCTCTCATGATAGGTATTCCACAGAGGAAGAACTAATACCCTGAAACCTCTGGTCTGAGTGGCCTTCAAATGGACTGCAAGCCAATGTAGCATCAATAGGATCTCATCTGGTGACTTCAGGGACCAGGAGTTGATGAGAGAAAAAAAGAGAATGAACAAATATTGCCCTCTACCTCAATAAAATAGACACATGCTTTTGTCTAGTGAAGTATACATACTATTCATGCAGAAAATATTGCACGAACTAACTCTCAGGACAAGTACATAAAAGGCCTTAAATGGTGGGACAACAGAAAGCAGTGTGTGTCTTTACTGCATTTGCAGTAATCTTATGAAGTGGCCTATATATCCATGTAATTGTGTTCCAAACTGTTTTTGAAAAAAATCTAAATCCCTATGGAAATTAGGTTGTGTGTGTTTGGGGGTGTGTGGAACAAATGGAGACTGGTCATCCACATTTTTACAACATGTGCACAAATCTCTGTTCCTCCAAACCCCTGAATTTTTGAATTTCCAGAAATGATTTGTAGATTAGCTGTGGGAAATACAGAACCAGTAGAGGGAGCACACAGACAATTACTTTTCAGTTTTGCTTTTTAAAAACCAACTTTCATTGCAGTGATTTTCTAGGCACAAATAAAAGTACAAACCATGCCTTTCATTTTATGAGAAGCAGTGTTCCAATAATACTTTAAATTTATGGTTTAATTTTTCACTTGTTTGGAACTATGTATGTTTCTAGTATTACTGGTATTTTTTATTGGATATCTAGACCTTCTGTCAAAAATGGGACTCATGTTGGCTCCTAGTAGTGTTAAAATAATGAAAAATACTATCACAGCACAAACATGATCAATTATGTAAACAACATTAAATTAAAATGCAGCCTAAAATAAAATTTACAAATCACAATGAAAAGTGTACCACACAGCCCTGTCCTGATTTGCTTGAAGAATTGTAATTCTTATAGTAATTGTCTAGAAATGTTTGAAACTTGACTCATTTAAGCTATTGTCAAATGGTGGATCAATATGTAAGTAAACTGAATTGAAGGGCAATCTGTACTAGGGACTGAAAGGAGAATTCGGGACAGCATCTTTTAATATTACTAGTGACAGAAGAATAATGGTAGGTAATTTGAGTTACACAACTTAGCTCAATACTTAAGTTCTGTTGAGTCAGAACTTAAGTATAGTTGGGGGCTAACAATTGGATTTAGACCATATTCCTCATCTAACCTTTGAAGAAGTATGCATCTGATACAAAATAGGTAGAAAATGCTGAAATCTTTGTGCAACATTGTTTCATATTGACTATATTCTCTTTCTGACTCATAGGAATGGTATGGTCAGATGTTAAAAGACTCTGGTATGAGGGCTTAGAAGACTTTTTGGATGAATCCCGAAATCAGCTTAGTTTTGTCATGAATTCACTCTATTTTGCAACTTTTGCCCTGAAAGTTGTTGCACATAACAAGGTAAGCATCAATGCTGTAGATTGTTGACACAAGTGTAAAATCACTTTGGTTCCCTCCCCCTGCTCAATTTTTTTAAGAGGGAGCAATAAAACCTTATGACAGCTCTTTAAACTATTGTCTTTGTATTTATCCCAAGGAATAAGGCAGAAGGGTGAGCATTAAGTTGAGTCTGTATTTAGGTTTGGGGTGTGCGAATTTAGGTGTTTTTTTTTAGGGGAAACAAATATGTTTCATGTGCATTATACTACTTGTTGAAAACAGACGGGAACTTTACAGTTTAGC